GACACTGGAAGTGACAACATTGCCATGTGAGATAAGGATTCAATTAATAATTGTAGCCAAAGGATTTGTTTCACCAAAAGTCTGAAGTTCTTGGGCTGTTTGCTAAAATCAAATAGTATGCAAAGTTCATATTCTGATATTTGGCTAAGAGTCTCAACTCGATTGGGCAACAAAAAAATTCAATGTTACGGTATTTGTCAACTATTTCAGGTCTGCTGCAAAAATATCATACAAATTTGCTGCAAGAGGTCTGCAGGTCTTACAGATTTTTTTTCTTTTCTTTTTGTGTGAAACACAACATAGTTGGCTAAGGCTTAGTACTGGTAGGCTAAAATTAGCCCAAAAAATAACTTTTTTTGTGAAACAATACCCTGGATCTTGACCATTTAAAGATTTTAACCTGAAAACAGAAAAATAAAAGTTATTAATGAATGTTAATAGAAAGAAATTACACCATCACCCTGTGGATCAGAGAGTTTGCAGTGATTCCTGTTTATAAGAGTTCTCTTGCCTTTATTCTGTGCAGTGCCCTCTGTTGTAAGTACAGGGTATTCACCATTCATCACCCTGTGAATCTGAGTGATATATAAATAATTCCTGTGATACATATTAGCTTAAATTACCTTCACATTAAGTATCAGCTAGGGTGCAACAATTCGTTTTTTAGCATACTATTCTCATCACCCTGAGCATCAAGGTGCAGCCATCTCTGTGCATTAGGGTTAATTCCCACTTAAACTATCAATCTACATAAATCGATCCAACTCTGTGCAGACTCTTGCTGAATACAATAAGATTAACAGACTAACATACCTCTGTTTTGTTTTTTTTTTTACTCCAATAATCATCACTTTTTAGGTATTCTACTCAACACCACAGAGGAACATATTAATCTGATTGCATTTAGCGATAGCACCCGTAAAGTCTGACTGATCTACTAGGACCGATAGTTTCAATGGGAGTGAGCCCATACACTTCTCATCACCCCTAATATCAAGGTGCAGTCATTCTTGTGTATTAGCAAATATTACCCCTCACCCTTAGTTTCATATGGTTAACAGTTATTTTTGTGTTCCAGGGGCTTTGTAGTGAACACTGTATATCAGCGTATACAACCTTTCGCCCCAAGTATCAGAGGATCCGATTGCTGTGATCCTTGGTATGAAAAAGAATGTCCAGTGAATCCTTCTCCATAGAAACACATCATCAGGGTGTGGCCTCTAAATATTTACACAAAAATTTGACACTTATCTCTGTTTTCCTTCTTGTGAATGAGAATTGTCACAATGAATCCTCTGAGCCTCAGGGCATTGTTCTATATAACATACCTTAATTGTACACATTGCACCCTGAATGCAAACAAAACAGTTCTTAAAATACATTTTTAATACATTTTTTTGTTTGTTTGTTTTGATTTGGGAAGGACTGAAAGATAATTTTGTAACTGGGCACTTTGTCATAGCCACAACTGTCACTACCCCGCTGGTAAAAACATTGTGTTGTGAGATTTCTTGGCTTGTCTCATCTTAGGTAACACAATCATATTTGGGCAGATTCTCTCTCACTCCTCCAACACACTCATACAATGTAGAAATATTCTACCGGCTCACTAGTGATCTACTGATTCATTTTCAAAATGATATATCCCTGTTGAAATCTTAACAAATTGAGCAAATTTTAAAGTCTACTTTGAATTTGGATCATTAAATAAACAGGCTAGTGAGCAAATTAGACAGTTTTACAACCCCCCCCCCCCCCCCGGGGTAGCGCTAGCAATTTTTTTCGCTTAGCCAAATCATCACTTTTTTGTCAATTTCTTATGAAAATAGCTTTAATTTGACTAAAATTTGCCAAATCAAGTCCTTTTTGTTTAGCCAAATTAAGTCAGTTTTAGCATTTGGCTAAATTGGCGAGTGCTAGCGCTACCCAAGCCCCCCCCCCCTTTCTCCCATCATACAAGCACACGCACACAAACACACAAATGCACACATATGCCTCAAAAAATGACTGCTGATTTAACTTTGGTCAATAAGGTAAGTTTATACAGTAAGTTTATTGTAAGAGAAACTGCTCTTCTAATGTAAAATAATGCCCAGAAATAATAACACTTTTACCACTAGAAAGCAGACATTAAAAGTATAGATGAAAAATCAAAGCATGCACAGTCATAAGCCATATACATAATCCATGAACTGAATTTGCAATTGAGCCCAAAGTTCATGCATTTACTGTTCAAAGCAGAGTATGACAGACAAAATAATAAATCCCTTTGATCCCTTAATGCTACATACAGAATACTATATATACACTTGTGATGATTAACAAATAAGATGATTAATTTATAATTAAGGGCAAAAATGTAATGAACTAAATAAATACTTTCATTTGTCAAAAAATTTCATCAAGTTATTTTAATGCACACACCCCCCCCCCCCCCCACATATATATAAAACCAAACACATTTTAACAACACTACACCAACAAGGTATATATATTTTTTCTTATGGAAAAGTTTAAACCAAATACATAATTATACCAAATGTACAAGTACATATAACATAAAGACATGCAGACCAGGATGTACCAGATACCTTTACAACACCTACTAGTAGACAGTACTTACGATTCCTGTTTCATGTATTTGGACTTATCCTTAATTAGCTGTCTACGTAACAACCAGAGAGGACTCATTCATTACATGTTGACAAAATAAGGAAAAAAATTGTAAACAAGGACACTGGGAAACACTTCCATTAATAAAACTATTATGTATAGATGTACAGTTTTTATACTATGCCACAGAAAGAGCTTTTTTTTATAAATAAGAAGGATATTAATAGCATAATTATTACCAAACAATTGGGGGATCTGAACAATAAGGGAACCTTCTAAAAAAAGAGCAAAGTTCTAATATGCCAACCCCTTCATCAGATAGACAAAGCTAAGCCAGTGAGATGGTATACTAGTTTATCCAAGATTCTTGGTTCATCTTAAGGTTTTTCAAGAAACTATTTCTGAGATCAATCATGAAAAAAAAAAAGTTTAAATTAAAATGATGGAAAAATGAACCCAACATGTACAATCTGGGTTAGCACTAACACTCGCCAATTTAGTCAAATGCTAAAACTGACTTAAGTTGGCTAAATCATTTGGAGAAAAAAGTGATAAAAAAAGTAGTGATTTGGCTAAGTGAAAAAAAATGGCTAGCACTACCGCATATGTTATACCTCTAACCTCCAGAGCAAGGTCCAAGAGAAAAATCAAGACTGAAAAAAAGCTTAAAATGAAAAAGAAAAGATTAATAAAACAGAAGGAAAAACTTACCCCTTTTTTATCACCCTGCCGGCTATACATCCTCGCTGGCTAATGTGCAAAAAGACAAACTTAACTCAGTGTCAAAATACACATGTTCACAAAAACTAGTTACTGACCATACAAACCCTGATATATTGGAGATAAGTAATTTAGTAAGTACTGTAACATATGGATGAACTTCAGCAGGATACTAGTAGTTACTCTTACCTCAATTAACTAATATTTTCAGACAAACGTTCTGCTTTGTTAAATGCATCAAAATCATTAGAGATACATTAAACACACTTAAAAATAAGAGTCAAAGTCTATATTGCACAACTCTAATGTGTCCAATATATACCTTCCACTGCTTCTTCTGCATTTGCTTTTACTGGCAGTTTTATTAGTATTAAGGATAAAAAAATGATGAGTAGGAGAAGGAAATTAGAACTATGAGACATTTAGAGCTGATCAGGAAATTAAAGTCAATGTTACAGACTTATTCATGCCTCAGTATGATCTCAGCTAATCATGGGGTCTAAGAGATCACTCGATTAAACCAAACTACTGTAACAGGAAACTATATAATGAAAACCTCTCTGTCGTAATTTCCAGTAATATCTGAGGGCTTTTCCCAATGAAACTATGACCCCATTCCCACAGATTTTAGATCGATCCATCCCTGTGGGGAGTCTCACTAGATTACTGTCAGCTTAGCCGGCTTAAATGTCTGTCCCTCCTACTAAAAGCTGTAAGGGGGTAATTAACTACAGTGCGCACTTGGCTGACAGCAATTTAGCGTTAACCCCTATAGGGGAGTTAGGTCGGTCTAGATGGATCAATCTAAATCTATGGGAATGCACTCTATCATTCTACATAGATACATCCAACTCTTCAGGGACTGTCTGAATGCAAATAAATACTAGTAAGCAGATTAACATTCCTGCCTCTTTGTGCTCAATATAATTGCCTGCCAGGAGGAGGCGTGTTTATCTGTTAATCTCATTGCATTAATGTAGAAAGATAATTTCATTGAGAATGAACCCTATATAAAAAGTGTGACTGAAAAGCTGGAGTCATTTTAACAGACTCATGACTTTTATATATCTTATTTATTTACTTTAATGCCCTAAACATTTTCAAATATTATCTGTATTTCTGTTCAAATACTTACTTTCCCCCTCGGTTTCTCTGAAGACGAAAGTTTCCATCGCTCACTTTCATCTCCGCGATTTCCTTGGCCACTTCCTCTGGAAGTGGTAACGCAGGGTCGGTGTTGTCGTAGCCATCGGCTTCAACCGGTGTCCCGTTTTTACCTCTGAAAGTTCTTTCAGCCTCCGACATGTTGATTCTAACTGTGTCCTAACTATTCACAAGGATATAATGAGACCCTCGACGTCGGGAAACTCTTTGTGTTTTGATTCTTCCTGGTCCGTTCAATAAATTATTTCACGTGAAATCATGATAAAATGTAAACAATTATACGTAAAGGATCCGATAGAGGGCATCCAGATTTGACAAGACAAGCCCATTACTTCCGTGTTGTGTTTGCACTTAAAAACACTCGGAGGTGTAGAGGCGTGAGTTACTACACCGAGTTAACCTACTCTTTGTGGGGATAAGATAAGCTGAACTTTGCCTTACACTTTAAGAGAATGCAGTAGTTCACTAAAGTTTTTCAACAGGTAACATAAAAAAAGACAATAATGGTTGTAAACAAACATCCTGAAGCGCTGCTTTTGGCAGAAAACGGCAACTTGAAGAGTTTGGAGAGCCTTGATCTGAGTCAAGCCAACGACAGCGTTGCCGATGAACATGGCTCCAACTGTCTGCACTACGCAGCAAGAACTGGAAATATCGACATCCTCAATTTTCTGATCCACAAACGAAAATTCCGTGGGAATAAAAAGAATCGGGTCGGGGCAACTCCGGCTCACGATGCTGCTGCGACGGGCCAGCTTGATGCGCTGAAGTGGTTGATCACTCACACCGACTGCGACCCTGATGACAGCGACGTCTCCGGGCAGACTTGCCTTCACCTCGCAGCAAGGTAATGGTGATCTGTGGTATTATCCTATACTACTACCTGGATGGTAGAAAATTGTGTTGTAACATGAGCATCATGTAAATAATAGTGTTGTCAAAATTTAATGTGTCCTCAACTACTTAGTACGGGGATTGGGGGGGGGGGGATAACATTTTGACCCTCCCTGCTGCTATATAAAAAGAAAGTACTTCATCATCATATCTTTGCATTAAATTCTGTCATCACAATGAGTTATGTAGTATGAGCACCTTACCCAATATTGCCAAGTTTTTTTTTTTTTTTTTTTTTGTACATTTTATTGCCTCTACATGTATATAAAGGGTTATTCCCAATTCATTCAACTAAATACTAGTACCAGTAAATTATACATGTATATATCCAACCAATTATAAATTACCATGTTTACAATTATCTACCAGTTACGTATACAGTAAGAAGTGATATTGATATATTCATATCTTTAGGTATGACCACCCAGACATCATCAGCTGGCTCTTAGTGGAGGGACATGCATCTGTATTGGAGAGGACAGAAACAGGTGCCCTACCTCTGCATTATGCTGCCTCATCAGGTGCCCTGGAATGTGTACAACTACTGGTGAAAGAATCCCCAGGGTAGGTTGGACTGATTTTTCTTTTTTTTTTTTTTTTTTTTTTTTTTTTTTTTTTTTTTTTTTTTTTTTTTTTTTTTTTTTTTTTTTTTTTTTTTTTTTTTTTTTTTTTTTTTTTTTTTTTTTTTTTTTTTTTTTTTTTTTTTTTTTTTTTTTTTTTTTTTTTTTTTTTTTTTTTTTTTTTTTTTTTTTTTTTTTTTTTTTTTTTTTTTTTTTTTTTTTTTTTTTTTTTTTTTTTTTTTTTTTTTTTTTTTTTTTTTTTTTTTTTTTTTTTTTTTTTTTTTTTTTTTTTTTTTTTTTTTTTTTTTTTTTTTTTTTTTTTTTTTTTTTTTTTTTTTTTTTTTTTTTTTTTTTTTTTTTTTTTTTTTTTTTTTTTTTTTTTTTTTTTTTTTTTTTTTTTTTTTTTTTTTTTTTTTTTTTTTTTTTTTTTTTTTTTTTTTTTTTTTTTTTTTTTTTTTTTTTTTTTTTTTTTTTTTTTTTTTTTTTTTTTTTTTTTTTTTTTTTTTTTTTTTTTTTTTTTTTTTTTTTTTTTTTTTTTTTTTTTTTTTTTTTTTTTTTTTTTTTTTTTTTTTTTTTTTTTTTTTTTTTTTTTTTTTTTTTTTTTTTTTTTTTTTTTTTTTTTTTTTTTTTTTTTTTTTTTTTTTTTTTTTTTTTTTTTTTTTTTTTTTTTTTGTGACTGTTGTAGCTTTTGGTCGTGTTGATTTGATAGTCTCAGCATAACCCCCTACCCACCACTCAGAGAAAAATGTTAAAATGCTTGTAGTGCTAAAAATGTAGATTCATAAAATTTGAAAAGAAAGCTGGTTGCGCCTCAATTTGTGTCAAAAAGTATATTGTTGTGAGCAACAGGGTTTCCCCAGGATTTGGGGTACAAGAAGTCCAAAATGTGAATCTGTAATTTAATAGTGGTCAATGATCCACTAGGAGTCCAACCCAAGCAAGCCCAACCTACCAACCCCAAAATTTTGAGGAAAATGGTTGTCCAAATAAAGGCTGGATGGCTCTCTGGGGAAAGCCTTGGTTTTGAGTATCTAAAAATGATAAATTATTTTAAAAAAATGAATATATATTAGAAATATTGAGATGTATAAAAATTTTACTTATGGTTACATTAAATGTCGTCATTGATCGTGATACACAGAAGCAGAAACATGTGTTTTACATTCTCTTCAGTCAAAATACATTATTATGTCCCCAGTTAGAAATACCTACATACTAGTACAAGCATGACATGAACTCTGTTTACTTGTGATATATTGAATTGAAATATGGTGAGAATTTATTTTTATGATGTGGTTGCATATTCTGTACTGTATGATCTAAAGCATAGAATAAACTACTTATTTAAAATAGTAAGAACATCACTATGTATAGTTCTTAATATACGTAGTGATCAGTATATTTTACGAGGTTTATTACAGGCAGATGTCTACTGCATACATAATTTGCAAAAAAAAAAGTGCAATTTTTTTGTTCTTATTTGTGTTGTTGAAATAGCAATTTCCCTAAAGATATGTTTTCATCTTCTAGGAAGAGAAGTATCAGTTCTGGGAATTTTCTGATTGTAATGGAATTCAAATACAGTAATTTTATTTTAAGGCGAATTCAAACCATTGCATTTAAATACCCACAGTGAGAAAAGAATTAATAGGAATTTAGTTGAAGCGAGAATTTATAAAGAGCTACATATAAGTGTCCTTTTCACAGGCCCTCTATGTTAATGCAGTTTATTTCTGGGCGGTGGCAACCCACCCATTCTGTCAACACACCTGACCTGGTAAACACATTTTTAATGGTTCACCCAAAAGATAAACTTGCCACACGTGGTATATACCTGAAATGTTAAATGTGTTGATTTAACTTCATATCAAACTTAGTGGGTCAGTTGAAATTTGAGATTCTGATCATTGCCTTTTGAAAAAATTAAGAAAGGAATTAATTAAATGAGTTAATTGATAAATTAAAAAAATATTTTTTACTTTAAAATTAATACATTTAACAGTACATCTAGCTCAGAATCTTATGGTGGTTTCTTTTATCCAAGAAATTCATTTTTGGTATTTGAGAAATAAGGTACTAGTATATAAGGAATATTACCCTGAAATTCATCCCTTAATCTTCCAGTCTTTGAGGCAAGACATGATGTGAAGAAATTCTTTTTTTTTTTTTTTAATTTTGATTTATGGAAAAATGTCTTGAGTGAAATAATTGACATTAAAGGCCCCAGAGTCTGTTAAACTGACAGACTGTCTTGTTAACCTGGTAGAATTGGCATTTGAATCAGTCTGAGAATGTGTGAGGAAACTTTGTGAAACTTTCCACATGTTCTGACTAAAAATAGAATTGATAAGTTTGTAGGAAACTGTGCCATGCTTGTATAGATAATGTTATTAATTTCACTGTTGAATTGTTGTTTTATGTCTCCCTTACTGTTAGACTGATATTTATTTTTTGCTAAACCCAAAAATTAATTTTTATGACCAATGATACTTAGTCTGTATTTATTTATTTATTTAATTATTTATTTATGAAGACTTGGTTGTAAAATATGATAAAATGTATGTTTTTAGGTAAATGTTGTTTTCTAAAAGCAAGTATGTTTAAACAAGACTAAATTCTCCCTGTAATAAAAAAAAAAAACTTCAAAAAGCTCATAACCAGCTTTTTTCCCCATTTTTTTTCATTTTTATTATTATTTTGACAATCATCGATCCTTGGTTCAGAAGCCACTAAAACTCATGAAGACAGTTTTCAGTGGTCTCCTGAACTTATGGTGAATTACAGTATACACAGTTTGGAGGGGAGGTTAAAGGTAATATAAGTCACAAGGTAATCAAACATTAATTCTGTGACATGGCTCTAGAACAAGCTTGTTACCTGGATATTGAACATGTAGGGAACATGTCAGCTTATCAACACCGCCTCCTGGCCTTGAGTAGAATACAGAAAAGCTGGTGATTATACAAATAGGTTAGAAACAAAAGGAGTGTTAATCTCTTAATAAACTGCAATTGCATTCAGGGAGAGTGCTGGCAGAATTATCACATATATATATGTGGACTCTCCCTGAATATATATATATATATATATATATATATATATATATATATATATATATATATATATATATATATATTTTCAAACTACCTAGTATGATTACATGCAGTCATTACAGTTTCATTTTGAACACTTCCTATGAGTGTATTATTTTTTTGAGATGTTCCCTTAATGGGTTCCGTCTGAACATTGATTGGTATGCATTCTCCTTGAAATTAATTGGAAACTCAAACAACTCTCCTGGGAATACTGGAGATGATTGAGGTGCAGGGCTGCCTTTCTGCTCTAGAGGGGGAAATATGCTTAAAATTTTGGGACAATACTTTTAGGTTTTAGCTGATAACTCTTGACTTATTTGAGTCAATTTTTGGGATATTGCTATAACAAACTTAAGGATTGGCCTTGTCCTTTACCAAATTTACTCTCATTTTGGGACAAAGTTTTTTAAGATCAAACTGCCTCCATAAAATGAAAAAAAAAACAACAAAATAATCAACAATAAAAAATAATAAACAATTTCCATTCTTGTCTGGGAATACAACATTGATAGAAAGTTATGGAAAATTATGAGCTCCACAAGTTCATTTTTTTTTTTTTTTGGGGGGGGGGGTGCATGCAATGGTCACAGTTGAAGCATGGGCACTTGGTTTTTCATTTTCCTGCTGTACCAATATATGCACACATACACACACACACACACACACACACACACACAGAGAGAGAGAGAGAGAGAGAGAGAGAGAGAGAGAGAGAGAGAGAAACCTTGTGTTTTAATTGTAAGCCAAGCAGATGAAATGGAGGCTGTGTGTTCAATGTTCGGCCTCAAAAAAGTTTACTAGTACTCTTTTTAGATAAATTACAAGGTATGCTTTACTTCTTATCATCATAATAATTACACGTGATAAAAACTCCTGTCAATCACCATATTTCAGAACTGTCAACATGCAGACCCAGAACGGCACCACGGCGGCCTATCTGGCAGCTCAGGGCGGCCATCTTGAAGTGCTTCGCTACCTTATCCATCACCGCGCAACCACCAAGATCCGTGCATATGATGGCATGTCGTGTGTGCATGCTGCCGCGCAAATGGGGCAGTTAACATGCCTGATATGGCTGGTAAGTAGTGGTTGTAGGATTGATGCAGCTACCTATCAGTGATTTTGATTTGATAATGTCCAATACTACTACTAAGTCTACTACTACTACTACAACTATTATAATAATAATAATAATAATCCCATTGTTTTAAGGTGCTGTTAAATGATAAAAGCATCAAATTTTTAGGTCATGACTTTCTCTTACTAGTACTTTGAAATTTTTTAGGTGAAGACTTCCACTTAATTTGAAAAATAAAGGTGAAGATTTCCACTTCATTGAAAATGATTTAGGCAAAGACTGCATATATGTCAAGTCAGAATCATATGATATATTGCACTGCCAAATCATTTAAAAGCAGCACCTGTTTTCAAGATGTGGTTCCTCAGAGCTCGTCTGTTAATTATTAACTTTTTTGCCTTTTGTCTGATAGATTCTTGATCACCATGAGAGTGCAGATGACCGCGACTTCAGCGGGTCAACTCCCCTCCACTTCGCGGTCAGTCAGGGGCATGAGAGTACGGCAAGATGGCTGCTGGACCATGGTGCCCTGGTCACTCTTGACCATCTGGGAGGAAGTCCACTACATGATGCTGCATTGCATGGTCAGCTAGAGGTAAGTAATACTTCTGAGATGAATTATGTAATATTATTGTATTTATAAGGTTTAGCATAGACTACAGGAATGTGAACAGGGGTGGATCCAAAGATATTTTCTGACAGCCTTCCATTATTATCTTTCTTGATCCATTCTCCATTTCTGACAGTATTCTGACAGATATATATTTATTTATGAAATGGGAACTAAAGGTTGCAGGTTTTAATAAACTCTGTAACTCGACTCAGTGAGATGACAGAGCACCGAAAGGATACTGGTTTAAGAGATCAGATTCTTAATAAATTCTGAAACTCGGTAGATTGGGATGACAGAGCACAGACGGGATGCTGACTTTAAGATCACCTCTTTGATAAGCTATGAACTTCAGGGTGGAGCGAGATGACAGAGCACCTGTTTCTGATAGACTTAATCTTTGTGCTGTCTGTGGCCAAGGCTGTGAAAGGCAGTCTGGAATGAAGTCCAATATTTGATGAATAATTGAAAGGTAGAATGGGGCCATTGCATGACTATTGCAGGAGACGTGATGGATATATATATGTTATAGAATAGTGGGAGGGTGGAAAAGGGGGTTAAATCAGGAATTAGATACTTTGAGGTGGGTTTTTAAGAGATTTTTTAAGATTAAAATGAACGGAAATTATCTTTTGTTTTAGTATCACTGATAAAAATGCTCACTGATTTTTGCATAACTATGCTTATTTCATTTCTTGTTTTGTAAAAGTGATTGTTTTAAAGATGTAAAAGATGTTTAGGGACATAGTAATATAGAACTGTGGAAATGTAAAAATATGGAAAAAGAATCTAAGTTTTGCAAAATCAGTAATTAGAGAAGAAATGAAAGCTTCACAAAGACACAAGATGGACTGAAAAATTATTTAATAATAAAATAAGTCATATCACATTAAAAGTAATATAAATTGTTATTTGGCATATGTTAAAATAAAAATATCTGGTAGATATGCCATGTTTTATATTGGATCAATTAAGGGGGTGAAAAGAGGCAGTTTTTTCTTTAGAAAGAAAGGAACCCCTTTGAAATTTGCTGGTTACAGGCCTGAGCAGTATACTTTAACTGTCAATTAAAGGGATAATAACTCTTCGTATGAGATCTATATTTCACAATAAAAACATTGTGAATAACTCATACAAATATAATATATTCTGTTTTACCACAAAAACGGCAGTTATAGCTATTATTCTGATATCTGAGCTTGTCTTTAGACCACGTGACCTCCACTGATGGCTATACTCTGTTAAAATCTCTTAAGAGATTTTAACAAAAAACCAAACTTTTTAGAAAAAAACCAGGGACTAACTTTGAATGTAAAAATGGATTCATTAACCATTGGTAAGTATGGGAAAATTGTTGTTTACTCCAGGAAAATTCTTTTTTTGGCCGGAACGAAGAGTTATTATCCCTTTAAGAAACATAGATTAAGCTGTCGCAATGCCAGCATCCCCCTCCTTGAGCCTCTCTATACATAATGCATCACCTGGGACCAGTGTCTGGAAGTGCTGCCAGGGCAGGATCAACTGGTGACCATTGCCCTGTGAAGTGGACTTGTTCCCTGTGTTTGGGGCGTTGTCACAGTGTTATTTCTGGCGACCAGTGCATTGATCTCCCAGTCAGACGATCTGTATCTCCCAGTCAGATGATCCGTATGTCATTTTCAAGGACATATCTCTACTACTAGTAAAAGTGTGATATGCTGAATGGGTTATTTCACTGTGACATTAATACATTTCCTGGAGCTGTTGTTTATGAGTTGTTTACTATGATTGCTGTGAAACACGGAATTTTCTGGAGTCAAGTTCTTGGAACAAACCCGTTGCTTGACTACCTTGGAGGGCTCCCAGTGAAATTTGATGACATGCTTTAAGAGGAAATGACAGTGGAAATGTTTGTTCCAGAATGGTTTCTTTATGACACTACAGCACTGTTACTGTACTGAAGACTTGTGACACAAATGTAACACACCTGTTCTCTGTGAACTAGGCGTATTGGTAACCATAGTAACAGTGCAATTTATCAGCCCACATGGGCAAAGATTCTCTGAGATTGTCAGCACTGCTCAGAACGGTGTATTGATTGTGTAATATTCAGCATGGAACTGTTCTTGGAAACTGGGTTTGCTGGGTGATTAATTACGTCATTGGTTCAAGTAAGACCACAGCTCCTTGTGTCTGGGCGTTGACATTATATTTGGAAACTACACATTGATATGACAGTCTGTATAAGGGCATCATAGTTTGTTAATATCTTTTATTTTACGGAAATAGATTTTATATTGACTGAGGATTTTGGGAGTATGATGTTTTACCTATTAGTTTTACAGTATCTGATTACAGGTAAGATTTAGTTAGATAATCTGGCATTTCTGTCATTCTGAATTTTAAATGGCTCGGAAATGTCACCAAACCAATTTATTGCACACAGCTTGGATTATGCAAAAGTCGTATATCACTGTCATTACTTCAACGCCATCCATTGATGCTGATAACATTGTAAGTTCTAACAATTAATGTAGTCTTTCAGAAAATATATTTGTAAACAGATCAGGATATAGTAATGTATATATTGCTTTGCCAGATGTGATGATAATTATGTACGGTGGCTGGAGTTTCAGAGATTTCTGAAAATTAAGCTGTGTCATTTTGCATCAGCTGATAAAGACTAAGTTGCAGTCAACAATTCTGAACCTTGGGGGTGAATATTGAAACTTATACCAATACGTACATCAGCTGGAAACACAAAGAGTAGAGTGTGATTTTTTGTTGCGATTTATCTTAAGTGCCTACTAAGGTTGCCAAAAGTACAGAACTTGAAATAGGTAGATCTATTCCTTTAAAGGGATAATAACTCTTCGTATGAGATCTATATTTCACAATAAAAACATTGTGACTAACTCATAAAAATATAATATATTCTGTTGTACTAAAAATACGGCAGTTATAGCTATTATTCTGATAACTGAGCTTGTCTTCAGACCACGTGACCTCCATTGATGGCTGTACTCTGTTAAAATCTCTTAAGAGATTTTAACAAAAAACCAAACTTTTTAGAAAAAAACCAGGGACTAACTTTGAATGTAAAAATGGATTCATTAACCATTAGTAAGTATGGGAAATTGTTGTTTACTCCAGGAAAATTCTTTTTTTTTTTTTGCCAAAACGAAGAGTTATTATCCCTTTAATATAAATAATATTAATGCAATATAAACTTAAAAAATAAAACCAGAATAAGTGCATGGGAATCTGTACCATAAATTGTATGGAAAGCCAGCTGTGAATAACAACTGATGTGTTTCCAGCATCTTGATTTTTCAAGAGGTTTTTATCTTAGATCATTCAAGTACATATTACACTTTCATTTAGGAAAAAGGCTACATTAACCCTTCCCTGTGACATCTGTGGAACCATGTGTGTGTTAATTTCTAACTTTCAGTTCCAAAGTAATTTGCATTTCCACTGTTTAGTGTCCAGATCTAGTCATCATTGGCTTCTGACAGACAACCTGCTATTTTTGAACATTGATATCTTCATATAATTTCCATTTCTTCCATTTATATTTCAGTGTATCCGCATTCTTCTTGAACATAAAGCCAATACCACCATCACTGACAATGAGGGCCTCACAGCAGCCATGTTGGCTGAGAAATGTGGGTATTTTCAGTGTGCTGACCTCCTGAATGGTAGAACTGGAAATCAGGTAATTGTCTTTTTTTTTGTTAAAGCATTAAATGATCAAAACTTTTAAAAATGGATTTCTAAACAATGAGAACACTTTTTGGTTTAAGTAACAAGTTCTTTGTTGAGTAAGAAGCAACGTTTCTAAGGTGAAAATGGAAAACAGATAAATTGAAGTGGGGTAGAAAACCATATGCTTATGTCTGAAATGTTAAATACTATATTATAAGAGACAAAGGTTGTATCAGTGTAAAATAAATGGCACAAAAATTATGACATTGTATGATACAGCAGAAAAAAAAGTAATGATAAAAAATTCATTGCAAGACCTTATGCCGTTTCAACATGCAAGCTCATTTTTAAAAATATTAACATACATGTATAAAGCTATTTTATAGATTTTTGAACTCGAAGAAAAGTAGCAAGATTAAGTACATGATATAATACCAATTGCCAATGGGTGAAAACTTTTGTCATGCCATCATGCAAATGCGCCATTACAGGCAATATATCAAACTGAAGCATCGCATAGACCCATAGTATAATTACACTGGAGCCAATCCCTATAGGCCAGACCTGATTAGATCTGAATATGTCCTTATATTGTAATCAGATTGATTGATTTCATATTCAAGTGGAAGTCTCCTATGTGGAAAAAAATGTTTTTACCCAGTTTGATTATGGAAAGCCGTTTGGTCACAGGTTTGGTCTGATTCTGCTATGCTACTGCTGTTATAATTTTTAGTGGAATGAGGTTCGGTCTGTTGAAGTCTAGTGTGAATGTCTCTTTAATGTCTTTATAGAATAGATCTTGGGAAGGAAGGGGGGAATTAAGGGATGATGAGGCACATTATAAAGTGTAGTAGAATGGGAGAGGTGTAAAGGATGATGTCCTTAAGAAAAGAGCTATAACGGAGTGTTGACAATGTTGCTACATATTGTTGAGTTTAGTAGTGAATGAAATTGATATTCACCCAATTTATCTGTTATATATGAATTGCACTTTTGCATGTCTTTATGCCAAAAATCAATTAAGAACTCAGGAATATGGTCCAAATCATTATATATTATCATTAATGGCTCTGTCAGATATTGGCTTATTCTACCATTCAAAAAAACTATTAAAAAAAAAAAGAAAGAAAGAAAGAAAGAAATGAAAAACAGAAAATGAGAAAAAAGAAGAAAAGAACCAGTAGTATGACATTGCTTTAAAGTGTCTATTTTGCTTTTTCTGCAATTTTGACACTGGTCAGTATTATGATTGCACTTGTTTGTCATATTTTCAGACCAAGAGCACCAGGTTTTTATTTCAAAAGACTCGTCTGGAGTAAGGCATTTCAAATCACAAGCATATTTTTGTGTTGTTTTGGAGTTACCTAACTATTATGCAAAAAGCCAAATGTTTGCCAACCCTTAAACACTCAATAATTCTTCATTCTTTTTCCTGTTATAAGAAGATAACAATCTTTATTATTTTTATAAATTAATTGTATCTGGAGTGACCTCTAACATTGGTATTTTAGACATGAGCCTTTAACTTTTTATATCCTTAACATTACTAACTTTTTCTGCCAAGTATATATGATTATCAAGGAGAACATGCTAGGCACTTTAACATTATTAAAAAAAGTCAATGACTAACTTACTAGTAGCTCTTAAAGTAGATTTAACTTACTGTTTATGTATTTATTAATATAATAGCTAATATACAGTAACCATTATGTGCTGTTACTATGGCAATATGTAAACACTAATATTTAAACTAATGGGGAAGTTCAAATTTTAGTTTGTTGATTTTAATTTTTCAGACAATCTTATTGATTGGCACTGCTTATTATATTTAATTTATAAATTTACTTAATAACATTATCAAATTAAAGATATTGACTGAAGTGGGTTTTATAAGTATATTTAATTTTGACAGTAATTGATAAAAAGATGGCACACATCTCGTGTTTGCCTTTTGGTATTCTTTTGATAGTTTTTACAAGAATTCAAAAATATTTGTAAAGAAAAATAAGTGACCTTGAAACTTGATTTTAGATATGAAACATTGACTACTGCAATTTTATATATATATTTTTAATTCATTGATGTTGTTTTAAAATTCATTAACACTACAATTATGATGTCATGTGAAGGCTATAGAAAACATTATATGGCATGATTTGGATTATGATACATACGAAAAAACATGCACCACGTAATTATTCTTTCACTCTCATGCACTCTGACAAACACTGTACACACACACAAACATGCTTAACTGCTTCTCAAGTCATACATTCAAACACACAAACACACACACACACACACACACCATGCTGATACTATAACAGTCCTAGTATGTACATGCAGTATAAAACCACAACAGCAGCTGTTTCTTACATGACAGTAACAACAATAGCAGCAGCAACAGCAGCTGTGTATTATAGTACCATCAATCTGTGATGACAACACTCCACTCACATATGGTCATCAAAAACTGGCAGTGGACAACAGTTATAGGCAGGTTTAGACTCAGCAGTTGAAGCGTAAATGGAATCCAGAATTGTACAAAATTTTTTAAAGGGATTGAAAAAATGATAAAATATTGCTTAATATATTCTACATAATGCTATATACCATTTAATCAAAAAGTAAATTTATTTATTGGGTCAGCTTATTTGATAAGACCATCAGGAATTCTGTTCAACTTTGGTGTGATTCTAGTTCACATAATGCTGATTTCTAGATCAGACTTAGTCTACTGATTCATGGTTACATATGGTAAAGCAAAATTATTTGACAAAGTTGTAATGCTAGGACACCGGTTTGAGTGTGTTTACTTCAAATACATGTAGCTAATAGAAATATCACCTTTACTTTTCAGGTAACTTCAGTTTCTAGTTCCCACCAAAAAATCACAGGTATGATATTCTTATACTGTGGTATAGACTTCAGTAATTTTTATCTTTTTGTTAAAGAAAGAAATTATGGTAGTGTACTCATTCATAGGTAGATTGCAACAGCTTGTAATGATATGTAATATTGTAAAATATTGTTATATTTGTGATATTTTACCTTTTTACTGGGTAGCTGTTTTATATAAGGCATATGAAATAGGTAACTGCAAGGTATACATACTGTAATGTTTTCATGGATATCTGTTTACAGAGGTTTGATGTATATTGTTTTAACAATCGCATAACAGACAAACACACGCAAGCATGCACACACACACACACACTTATTCTCATTAAAGATAACTAAACATAATACATATGTAGCTTGAATTCAGATACAAACATGTAGTTCCTACCCATGAAAAAATGTTTAATTTGAATTTGAATTTTTTTGCAGTAGAAGCAGTTGTCCACACACAGGACCCAAGATCTATAAACGGACATGTGAAGACTTCAGTGACTAACAGCATCCCACCACCACCAGACTCTCCGCCTCCGCGTTTCCCAAATTTTGGCATAATGCCAAAATCTCAAGGTCAAGGTCAGAGTCAAGGTCACAACAAGTTCAGTTCTGAAGTTTTGGGCAGTGACTTTTCCACCTCTAATACATCTATCAGCACATCATCGCAAATTCAAAATGGTTATATCGCCAGCAGCTCATCGAGTTCAGAAGCGGCCCCTGTTACTGAAAACAATGGTTTAGGACTGACACGGAAAGTTTCCATTTTGTCATCATCAGGGGAAGACTATCCCCCGGGACTGGATGACTATGCCAATGCCATTGTGACTCTCGACAGAAAAACAATGGAGAACAATCAAGGTCGAGGTCACACTAAAGGTCAAGGTCAAGCTCAATACCAAGGTCACACCACAAGGGAAACAGACAAGAAGATAGATCAAATAAAAGAGAAGAATGAAGTGAGCCAGGACAGAAATAATTTCCGAAATGTAAGAGAGACCAGTTCTCCTCAGCGCAAGCTCCAGCATGACATCAAACCCCTCCATATTGCTTGGCCACCTCCTCCCTCCTCTCCTCCTCCTTCCTCCTCCACACAATCCCCAACATCACCACCACTGGGTTCTCCGCCCCCACCCCCTTACTCACCAGTGAAGACAACTGGTACTGCCCTATCACCTACAGTCCAGGTACCACCACCACCACCTCCACCTCCTCCACCACCTCCACCCCCACCACCACCACCACCAGCACCAACCCCAATTGAGAAGGAGGGAGGAACTAAAGCTGTAAGGTATGTGATATATTTAGCTCTAAATGTTATCAGTCGATGACCAAATTAAACTGAGGTTTAGCAGTCTGAACATTTTACAACAAAATGAGATGAATAAAATGAACATTTAGCCATGTTCACCAAGAAACATCCAATTAGCCATACAAAGTCATCAACAGATGTCAATTTCACATATTTGTCAATGTGCAATGTTTATTCATTTTTATTTATCTATTTTTTAGTTATTTTATTATTTATTTATTTATTTTTGCCTCAGGCCTAACAGATTTGAAGAGCCTTTTCAGTCATCTGGCCACAGCAGAGGTATGTCTACCAGCTCTAGCGCTGGCTCCTCGAGCGCTGAGAACCTTATTGCAGAACTGAAAGCCTCCAGTGGCATCATGGGATTGCGCAGGACGAGAAGACTGGCAGAGCTTGACGCACAGTTGGGAATCGACAAGGCATCCAGAGAAGAGGTATTATAATTAGGCTGAGTTGATACAAAGTATCATTTTGCCATTTTCATATTTCTTAATTTATCAAGTCATGCCCCAGTATAATGTACCTGTTTCTTCAGTTGCAGTGACTGATAACATAGGACTTCAAGAATATTAGTTTGAAAGCTATTACTTCTGTAAAAGAAAGTTATGCCAGTTCTACCAGCTTATTCCTTAACATGTATAATATAAATAAAAATATGTGGTGCTTTCCTCGTTTGAAGACATGTCTGATGGTATCAGACAAATCTGACCTCTGGTCTTACTTTAGACTGTAGGAGGCAGCACAGTACTGGGCAAGCCTGTAACCAAGACAGTCTTCATCAGCCCCAGTGCGTCCACCTCCAGATCCCAGTCTCCTGTGAACACCAAACCAAAGCCTAACAAATTACAGCATGGTGCAGTGGAGCAGTTTGAAAAGCCAGTAAGTCACTCAGTGATGGGTGGGATATTTTCAGTCTTTTGGAAGAGTTCAGATAGAAATTGTACAGTTTACAGCAGGCATGATTTTATTCAAATTATTGCTGAAAAAACTACTCAAAAACACGACTGAAAGTGTTAATCCTCGTAAAATGTCACTTTCAGATATTGGATGGCACATTTATGATCTTAATTGTTTTGTTTCAGATTAGATATGCAATGCTTTGGTGAAGCAAATGTTTCAAATAAAAGATATTTTTATTGTATTATAAACTTAGTTATAAAAGATATTTCAATGTAAAGATGTCTGAATTGGTATCACTTTTTCATGTTTTTACATAGGTACATGATATATCACTGCGTTAATACACATTTAGAAATTGATCCTTTTTTATCTTATAACCAAAGCTTGCTATACAGGAGGAGGGTGAGGAGTCTGATTTTACAAACTTCAAAGCACCTGCTAATTTAGTTTCTGCACACGGTGCAGCTGGTCATTCTGATAAAAATCAGTCACAATATCCAGCAAGTATTCAGAGAGATTGTGCAGATCCAGAGGTTAAAATTGGCGCCAATGGTACACAAGTTATAATTGGCAGTGTAGGAGCTTGGAATTCATTCAGAACTGGTGCAGGAAATGAAGCCGGCACAACTGTAGGTGGCAGCACTGGTGCAGGCACTGAGTGGAGTGGTATAACGAGGGTAGATATAAAGATGGATGTAGATGCTGATCACATACGGTCAAAGAGGCCACTCAGTGACCAACAAACAGCCTCCATAGACAACAAACAGAATTGCATGCACCACAGACAAATTGATTCTGCCAGTCAGGATAGAAAAAAGACAGCGGATGATTATGGTAAAATAAACCCCACCAACAGGAATGACCTCATCGAATCTCCAAACCTCCATATCCAAAAGACCACTGTGAGACATACAAGTTCTTATGTACAGGGGGTTCCACAAACGCAAACAGCATCCAAGCCAGCCTATAGACAGAGTGTGGCCAGGGATGGTGCTGGTGGTGGTGGGGGTAAAACCCACAAGAGCATATTTGAGCTTGAGAAAATGATGAAGACGAGAACTTCTGAGGTGACATTGGGTTCTGTACAGCCAGTTGTTAAAGTAGATGGAAATGGGATGGTGCTCGCTGCAGACAAGACAAAAATCAGGAAGTCTTCATCCTCTGGTCAACTCCACCTGAAACCTCATCACGGGGATGAGCACTATGTTATGTCGGCCAATAGTAGTGCTGCTGTAAAATCTACTTCTGTGAGAACAACGGGTGCTGGGCAGAGTTTGGTGACTGCTGCTGGTCTGGCCAAGGGTGACAATGGTCAAGGAAAGATGGCCATGGGTCAAGTAAACATGGGAGGGAAGGGTACTGGTCAAGAAAATATGGGCATTGGCAGTGTTCACAGTCAAAAAGGATGGCAAGGGAAAAGTGCTGACTTTCCTCATAAGGGACACATTGAAACAGATAATGGTCAGAAGGTATTAGATGAAAACCGGGGTAACATAGTTTTGTCTAACAGTGCTTACAGCAAACAAGAACAATCATCAGTAACCAATGTAATTAAAAAAGATAGATACGGCATTCAAGGAGAAAAGGTTGGGCTTACAGAGGATAAAAGTATTGAAAGTTGGAACAAGAAACAAGACACGGTTAAGGCAAGACCTGAGAAAGAAGTTATGATTCTTGAAAAAGAGTCATATGATAAGACAATTGAAAATAGCCCCAGAAATGACTGGAAAAGGGAAAATCTTGACACCAGTGAACAGTTGTGGGTCAAACCGCCTAAAAAATTGAATGAAGCAGAGCGATTGCTGTATGGGCAGCAAACTCCATCTTCATCAGCCACTTCATCTCCGGAAAGCCCATACCCTAATCTTGGAGCTAAAATTTCTTTGTTTGAGCAAGCCTCTAATGTTGATAAAAATGGGAATGATAGAAATAAAATATATGGCTCTTGGGTCAACAGGGAAAGCTCACGTGCAAATCTTGGGGGTATTAATTCAGAACAGTTAAACAGTAACAAGACTCTAAAGGCAGATGTGGCAAATCTGGATGCTTTCAGAATGGACAAGAATTGTTTAGTGTCACCAGGCCTTCAGATGAGCCACGACAGTAATCACAATGCCTTAGTGAATGCTATGGCCAAACAAGCAGGGTCTGAAACAAAAAGTGACAAGGAATTGGAAGGTAGGACTGATCCCAAAGAGAACTGGGGCATTGTGAAGGATTATGTGAAATCCAAAAACTTGGATACCCAGAATAATAGGGATGATAAAGTTTTAGTTAAAGAAGAGATGGACATCAATGAAATGGCAAATAGAAATGTTGTACAAGAAAGAATGCGATTGTTCAGTGGAGCCAACAGCTTCACCGACAGGAATGTAGCTCCAGCCAAAAACAACTGTGCAGTGGAGAAAGAAGCAAATGTAGGAGCCATGGCAAAAGGCGGTGTTTCTGAATCAAAAATATCCCGGTTGAATCAAGAGTCTGACATAGCTGCTGAAGTAGGCCATCGCAGCCATATAAAGGGCCCAAGTTATCATTATTCAGAGAAAACTGGGAGTTTCAAGCATGGTTTTCCAACAGAGGACACGGCACAGAAGGCAAGTTGTTATGTCTCCTCCAGTCATCCAGCCACCAGTGGTCACCAGTGTGAACCAGAAGGTCAACTGAAAAACAGTGCCGAAGGACGGACATCCCCAGAGGCCAAGCCCAAGGTACCACATCTACAAAATATTGGCGTCAAGCTACCAGGGATGATGAAAGATGTGTCCTTCTTCTCTGGTCAGATGGTTTCCCTCAAATGCATAGAGGGCACTCAAATCAGAAATGCATTGACAAAGCCATTGTCTAACCAAAGCACAGAGAGGCAGTACTTTGCAAAGAAGGGAAACTTGCAAGAATTTGGCAGAAACCCCAGTGCTAATGAAAAAGGTGAAAATATAGAAGGCATTGTCAAGATTCAGGAGTCAGATCACAATTCAGGAACCAGTCAGGTATCAACAGGAAGCACTGGCATAAGTAGTGGTGCTAATAAGACACATTTATCTGCCGACATATGGAGCAAGTTTGATGAGACATTGATGAGCAATAAAAAGCAGAAGCATTGTGAAGTGAAAGATGGTGCAAATATCTCAGCAAATGTTGACAACCTGAAAAACACCAAGACTGTTCCAGGAAGTAATGGAGTGGATGCACTATCACTCAGGATAAGTGAAAAGAAACCGTTTGACAGTAGACAAGAAGAAAAGGTTCTTTAAAAAAAATGTTTTGGCAGTCATTATACCCATAAGTTGAGTTTCAGCACATGTGCCCAAAAACAAAAAAGGATTTGATACATGTGCTAGATTTTCTGTAGAAGAAAATGTAATAGGCAACTCATCACTCCAGCTTTTTTTTTTTTTTTTTTCAATTTTTCCAATAATTTGCATTTATGCTGAGTACAGTTCTAGGTTGGCAATTAAACATCTACTTGTTACTTATTTAGGCTGCATATAATTTATCAGCACATGTAGTCACCACTTCAAATGCACCACTGCTCAGATTTATCTTAATTTAAAATTTATGGTTTCTTTATTTGTCACACAATTGATTCAGAAATATTTTCTCTAAGTCTTCTTAAATGTCATTTCATCCAGTCATATGCACTTTTTTGTCCTATGATTTAAATCAGCATGAGGCCATGCATTGCCAAATACCTTTTCCAAGCATCATCTTAATACTCACAAAAACGAAAAAAATGGAACAGCATGAGGTTTTGAATTTCTTCAGAATTTTGCCCCAGTGTCATAAAATACATAGATGCACTATTGTTTTATACTTGTTATACTATGTTATACTAATTTATCACTTCTAAGATGTTTTCTCTGTACGTTTTCATGGTTACAGAGTATTTAATATTATTTTATTTATAACACATATTTCATTTTAATGAAAAAAAATTAATTTATAGGTTACATATTAGATATATAAATTTATTTTTTAAATTAAAATTATTTTCTGATCTAAATTTATTTTGTTTTTATATTTGTGTAAATATTAATGCATATATCCATAAATTTATCATTCTTATTACATACTAGTAATTATCCTATTGTGAAAAGCAAAAGTATTTAAATGCAATTAATGTACTCACAGCTTTGAGAAAAAAACTTGAATATACAACAAATATGATAAACTACAAAAGGTAAACTTGGATGAAAAAGTTACCAAAAAAACTTAATTTGTCATAAAAAATGAATTTGATACTGTTTGATAAAAAGAGAATAAACTATTAATTATAATGTACATATCCCAGGCTCCAGGAGATGGCAGCACTGACTCCAATACAAGACCATCAGGATCCTACAAGGCAGAAGACTTCCTGGGCGAGGTTCCCACCACTGACAAGGAGGGGAAAGACATCCCACCTTGGAAGCGACAGGTCCTGGCCAAGCAAATGGCAGACAAGGCAAATTCTGGTCTGATACAGAAAAAAGTAAGTATACTATATTATAATTTTTATTCTTCTGCCTCGTTTCCAATGGAATAGTATATTCACCAGCTTTTCTGTATTCTCCTCAGTGCCAAGAGCAGGCATTTGATTTGTAGATTCTGATTCATAGAGTTGGATTGATCTTTGTAGAATGGTATTTTCATTGGGAATGGGCCCTTTATTGTCAAACAGGAATGGGACTTCCAGATTTGGTATATTTTAGTGAGTGCCTGATTTAATGGGGTGGGGTGTATCTGAGTTAGGTCTACTGTATTTATTTTAATATCTGACATGGCTGCTCTGACCCTGCTCGTGGATTGGTGCTGATTTGGTAAGGTTTTGGTTTTTCCCCCGGGGAAAAAATGGGTGAATAATTGATGCTTTCATACAGTAGAAATTGTTAAAAAATTAATGTGATTTTTAAAGTCAGAGATGAAGTGGATCTATCTACTGTCTCATGCAAGGTGAGAAATCTTCACTTTCAAGATGTAAAACATTTTGATCCAAGTGGTCTGGGAGAAAATATCTTAATAATAGTCTGAGTATTATTTGGCACATTTATTGATAACTTACTTAAGTGCAACTTGCTCGAGTTCACATATTAGAGTGCTTCATGTTGTGTCTTATGAGCCTACTTTTTTACCCAATGTAGGATAGTGCCAAGTATGAAAACATGCCTCCTTGGAAGAGAGCTCTTGTGGAAAAGAAGGAAGCTTTGTAAGTTGTTTTTTTCTTCAAAAATACATGTTTTGTAAGTAAAGTAACTATAACAAGTAAAAGTTAGTTGTGCTTCCCCCCAAAAAACAAAAAATAAATATATAAAGTTAATTAATTAAATAAATAAATAAAAATAAATAAAAATATATACAAAGTTGCTGGCTTCCTCTCTTTGAATATGATTTACTTCTTTACTGTTTATATTGTGTTGGTTATATTTGGTTTAAAATTCACTGTTAGGTTAACTTGAATATATTGCTGTCAGAGGTTTTTGTATTCTTTATTTTTGCTGTTAAACACTTTCTGTGGACTTCAGGGCAGCCAAGGAGAGAGAGGAGAGGGAGCTCCAGAGAAAGAGACAGGCAGCAGAGGAGGCTGAGACTGCAGAAAAGCTGGCTCCATGGCAACAGGAGCTAAGGATGAAAAGAAATTGAAAATATTGTATTTAGTTAGGCATTTATTAAAGTATCCAAGTTAAATCCTTAGTTTTTCTTTCATTTTATTTTCACAGTGAAGAATTTGTTGTTGTCGAATTGAAGTTGAGGTGTTGATTACACACAATCAAAGAATTCCAGCAATTGTAATCAAAACTATAGCTGTAGATCTTAAACATTATAACAGCAAAATGTAGCTAGAAACTTGCTTCTATTGTTTTTGTGTACATTTGATATTTTTTGTGTAAACTCTAAAATTACAGCAAAATGGGACAAACCAGTGAAAAAATAAGTAATAGAGAATTAATAAAAATAAGTGTTGATAGTATTTACATATTAATTATGGAGTCAAATGCTTTATTTGACGGATTTGTGTGCCATTTGACATTTTGCAGATATTTAGTGCATTTGATTTGTATTTTTATGTTCAATATTACAGTGCTATAGGTGTGCCCTCATGTATCGTGACGTTTGCTGGCATTGCAGTGTGTTAGGTGTGACAGCATTGCTACTGGTTGTGCTTGAGCACTGTGCTCAATTTTCAACATGCGCCATGTACAGTAGCTACTGTTAATCTTAATATTTTCATTAAAAACCCAATCGATTGATAAATGGAGAACATAATCTAGTTTTTTTTTTTAATGTAAGTAGGAATCAACAAATTGGAAACATAAAAAAAAGTATATGGTAGAGAATAAAGCAGTTATTGGGGATGATAATTCTTAGGACCAGTTACACCACTACTTGTAGGCTATTCATGTATGCTCCCCAGGGAGGCGAGATTGTCTCAATGTTGCCATGACCGCTAGGCATACATTGTAGCACTGGCTGATCTCCTTAATCTAAGGTATTGATTATAAACATTTCTCTTTTAATTTTTCACTAGTTTTTTCACGTATTCAGGCTTACAAACAGCATGCTTTGTACTTGTATATCCACAGTTATTATATTCTACATGAGTTTCCCAGAATAGGGTGTGTGAAATTTGGATGTATCAATTGAAGGTCATCGTGAAATGTGATTTTTGTGTCCCATTTACATTTTAACTGGCATGCGTACACACACAAACACACACACACACACACAAATACACGCACACACATGCACCAGTTAGAAAGCAATATTCAGGATCAGTCATCAGGTTCTGGTGTTTGAGATGCATATCTAGTCATTATAATGTAGCAGGTAATCAATTACTGTTATCCATTTGGTGCTTGGTTCTTCATAATATGTACAATGAAGGTTTTTTCAACTTGTTATAAGGTCAGCTGTTCATGCTTTATTTATTTATTTAATTTTATTTATTTATTTATTTATTTATTTATTTATTTATTTATTTATTTATTTATTTATTCCTGTCTGTATGCATTTTGCTTCTTTTATTTATTTATTTCTTTTTCATTAAACAACTTAACAGGAGGTTTTGTCCACTGATTATATAAGCTTCAAATTGTTCTGCAGCTACACTGTGCTTTTGTCAAGAGACTGAGCACCTGACTACTGGCCCTCACAGGGCAGTGGCTGACTTCTGTCTGACCACACTGGTCCACTAATTAAGTGTCTGTTACAAAATTACTTTCATTTTGTATACTACTTTAGTGGGCAGTGCGGTCAGTGCTTCCTTGACTGGTTGCAAGGCCCCAGTGGGCCTGAATCATCAGAGCAATTGTGTTTGCCAGGACAGAGTGTGTATCCCCCTGGCAGATCAGTGTTTCCAACCTGTCAAGAATTATATGTGCATTGTGTAAGATTTAATGAGTGTTAATCTAATATGGGCGGCTTTAATCGGCCAGGGAGAATCCAGTTTCGCATGAACTGAATTAATATGTGCGCTTGTGCATATTGCCTTCAATGAGTGGCGGTGTCGGAAAATAGGCGTTAATTCAATTAAATTGTACTGTCTGTATGTAGATGGTTTTTAGGCCAGCGCTGTGCTACCGTGTCTGTATGTGTGAAGAAGAAAAAAACAAGGTGCTTGTCTAGTTCCAACCGCAGGCCCATAGCTGGGAGGGGGTGGGGTGTTCAAAAGAAACACCCTTTTTATCAGGGAAAGGTCCATTCTGGGTAAAGTTTGATCTAGGTCCGCAAAAGTTTCATTGTAATAGGTTCACTTTTTTCTGCAAAAAGAACCCCCCTTTTGAAAATAATAATAAAGTTTTTTCTCGCTCGTCAACCAACTTTTCTTGGTCCTGTTATATATTTTCTACGTACTATAGCTAATTAATGAATTATGTTTACTTGATTGCTTTACTTTAGTGTTTTTACACATAAAAATGTTCATTACCTTCGGCTTACATTTGCTCTCATTAGTATTGGTTACAGCTTCAAGGTTTTCTGCTATATTGTCGACTCAGTGGTAACCATTAATTGTTACAGTGTATGAGTTTATTAGTGATTTGAATTTAGCACTTTTATTTACTTTAAATTTTTTGCTTTAATTGAAACTACACATTTATGTGTTTTGTTCGCTTTATCATAATTAATACGTACAGTTATAAAATTTTAGTACTACTACTTTGTTTCGATATTAAAACTAAAATTGTCTTGTTCATCAAAATTATAGAAATAAAAATAAGAAGTACATTCTAAGGCATGCGTCTAGTTTGTCTTTTTGATTAGGAAATTTATTTCAGTCATGAAATATGTTTTCATTTCATATAACAGTATTAAAGATATCTTCTATTTTCATAGAAGAAAGCGCGCCATACTTAAAGCTAATGGACAAATATTCCGTCAAGATGTGCTTTGGTGGGCACCTGATCCTTGTGACGTAACCGCGTGATATGACGCCATCACAGTGATGTGACGTAACTGTGCTGCACACAGACTACCTTTGTCTCGTACGGCTTACTGTTTTTGCGGTCGTATACGATAAATATCGCTTTAAGAAAAAAGATGAAATTCGATCGAGATTTGGAAGTTAACCAAACTGATTTAATATGGAAGCACAAGAATAAGGATCTCTTCACTCCAGTGATGTCTTTTCAAAGTTTTGGTATATACCAAAATTTTTATTCTGTGTTACTGATCGGATTACTCAGCGCCGGTGCAAGTTTGTCAGCTACTGGTCGGTTCATAATCACAGCAATCCCAATAACAGGCTTTTACCGTCTGGATAATTGATTCATAAATAAGTGATACACTTGCAATTCAGAGTGACAAAGCGGACGAATGTGTTGAGCTGGTTACTCTCCGGAGACTATTCGTCAAGTCGAGGGAAAGTTCAGCTTCTGAACTGATCAGAATTGCATAGAGAAACGGTATTCTCTATCTGATTGCGATCGTCAATGGTTTGTATCGGTGTTGCTGATTAACGTTTTACAAATGATATTTATTTACCCTAAAATCCTTTAAAAATGCTTAAATATTGTAGTATTGAATACAAGCTGTAAAGCCATAGTTAAGACAAAACATGAAAAACACGGATGGTGTTAGTTCGGTCAATGCCGATAACAGCAGGGAGCCGCTGAACATTGAGAGAAAGCCACTGAAAACCGAGGATTAATCAAATATCAAACGGTGTGCATCACCTTACGTCATTTAATCGTGGAGTCGACACTATTGACCAAGCAATGCGCTTCATATTAATTGACTGCCTAGCGCAGTTCCTTTTACTGTGTGGCTGTGTCCCATTGTAATTATCCGTATGAGGGGGGGGGAGGGGGGGGGGTGAACGTAATTCCAAGGGCCAAATCCACAGGTCGTTGGACATGTCCTTCGAATCGAGTGTGGAATTCAATCCCTTAAAATGTTATTATTATAATTTTTTTACAAATTTACTCAAAAATGACGAAAAACATGCCAATTATTCCTACAGCCGAATTTGATTTTTTACGGAGATATTATGGCCGATTTCCTCAAAGCATCCCCTGTGCATGAAATCATGTTAGTGTCACTGCTGTGTGCATGTATAATTAATTTGAATCCTCCTCACCCCTTCGTGTTTCAGTAATGGTTCCCCGAACCTATTTACTTGTATGATGGACTCCAGAGACTAGGCCTATTACTGGGTTCCCATAGCTAGATCGATCTAACAGGATTGGTTCATCTCCACGGAGTTTCTCGCTAAATTGTTTCAGCTTAAGCGGCTTAGGCTGCGTTCACATGAAAAATCTATTTTCTAAAAATCTATTTGCGGTATCTTGTGATCACGGTTTGTGCCCTGAATACCCCACGGCGTAATTACGGGCAGCGCGAGCCAGTTACTTCCAAAGCTGTAATTAATTCTCGGCGCTGCCAGTAATTACGCCGCGGGGTATTCAGGGCACAGACCGTGATCACAAGATACCGCAAATAGATTTTTAGAAAATAGATTTTTCATGTGAACGCAGCCTTAGATGTCTGACACGCCTAAAGCTGCAAGGCGATAGTTAATTACCCCCATCAGCTTCAGTGGGCGGGACAGAAATCTAAGCCGCTTAAGTTGATTGCAGTTTAGAGGGCGCATTCAGAACAGCGGACTACCAGATCTGCGGATCAAAAATGGCCGACCCACTTGAATGCTTGTTACTTTATCCCCGCTTGGAATTTGTTCAGTGCCTAATCGGAAATTAAGCGGCAAGCTTTTTAGTGGGTCGCCATATTTGATCTGCAGATCTGGTAGTCCGCTGTTCTGAATTCCATCTAACACCCCATTTCCATAGATTAGATCGACCTACTTTAGATCGACCTAACTCCCTGGGGATTCACGCTAAATAGCTGTCAGCCGGGCGGACACTAAAGTTAATTAACCCCTTACAGCTTGTAGTAGGCGGGACGGACATTTAAGCCGGATTATCTGAAAGTAATCTAGTGAGACTTCCCGCGGGGATAGATCGATCTAAAATCTATG